ACAGAGAGACAGACAGAGATAGACAGACAGACAGACAGACAGACAGAGACAGAGCAGACAGCCAGAAAGGAAAAGTAAACTAGCTCATACATGACTCTGAACAATACAAATAGATTGGCAAAAATAAAAATGTCACTGAACAGCCTCCAACATTTTCTAAAAAACCTAATAAAACAAGATAAATTGACTATATACAAAACAGGGGTAATGGGGACCCTAATATTTTTAATCTGCTACATTGTTAAGGAAACAATTCAGACAGACAAAATTGGTTGAGTAATTTATCATCAATGTATTTTCACTAGGTCTGACATTTCTACCTGAATGTGTTAGCTTCTTTATAAGTTAAGCTTTTATTATTTTTCTACAGTTTCCTTTTTCGAAAAACAAAAGGTTGCATTTAAAGAACAATGCTGTTTTGTTTTTGTTTTGTTTTTTTTAAGAACTCTTCTACAATCTTCAACAAACTGACTGGAAAATATTTAATATCCTCTATTATTTTTGAAGCTTCCCACACAGAAGTTTGTAACAATGTTAAAAGCATCTTGGCAACTCTTACATGTTGAAAGAAACAAAGGAAAATCCTTACTTGCAATTAATTGTAACTCTCCCATACACTTTTTAAGAAGCAATGCAGTTTCTGCCCAACTCTATAAAATTAATATTGTATTTGTTTACTTATGTTCTCTAATTTTGGCCCCAAATTCAGTGTTCTACAGAACACTCTAAAGTAATGAATTCATAGTAAGAGCTTACATAGTAACTTATTATAAACAAAATCAATGTGAATGATCACAATAAAACTTTTGCTGTAGAGTTGTACTTAAAATACTCTTCCTTACCTGGACATTCTTCAGAATAAACTCACTTTTCTCTCTTACATCTTTAAAGGGACACCTCTTAGAAAGCATAAGCAGATGTGCAAGAAGTTTATTCAACTCATCCAAAGAAACCGCATTTGAAAGCTCGTCGGAAGGACGGCAAGTTGTCTCTTTCACTGAACGAAGGCACTCGGTTTTTCTCAAAACGATTTGCCTAATGGTTTCCAGGGCTGACTCTCTAGTACTTGAATCTCTACTGCACAATCCATCCCATCTCACTTCATTCTCTCCTTCAGCCATGACAATCAGAGTTTTACCTTTCCAGTCTTCACTTTTCAGCATGCCCAAAAGCACTTTGTATTTTTAAAATGAAATTTCCAATAAATTCAGAGAAATCGAGATGTAATGAAAACACACGTCTGGGTTTCATTTAGGAATCAGAAGCGTCTTTCAAATCGATGTTTTGAACTGAGCTACAAGATTAATCATCCTCACACTGTCTCCTACACGAAGGGGCGGTCTTGTGGACAGATTGAAAAAATCGAAGTTGGAAAGTTGCAATCTTACAGCGCTGGCTCTGCTGGACAGAGAGCTCAGGGAAGTGTTTTCTGCCTCGCAGAGTCAATGAATATCCTTAGGATGTGGAGCTGTCAAATCCGTGCTCTGCCCAAAAAGGCTGGTAAGAGTTGAAAGCTCTCCAGCCATTCGGGTTTTTTTTTTTTTTTTCTTTTTTCTTTTTTGTCTGTGTAGCCACCAGTTGTCGCTAGCGTTCCCACCCCGCCCCTCCTCCGGTCCTAGTCCCCGCCCTCCTCAGCTCCTCCCTGAACCTCAGCAGCGGGCCGGGTCAGGGAAGTCTCGCCGAACCCTGGCCCAAGGCTGCGACAGCTGAGCCTCGACGCTCCTGAAGGACAGCTGAGGAAAGCGACAGTCTCCACCAACTCGCTGTCTCGGTGGGCGGCAATGAAGGTGGGCGTCCTTGGCCGCGTCGGTTCTGGCCCTTGGAAGACGCCGCTTCTGACCTGGTGCCCTCGCCCAGGGCCGCTAAGCCAGAGGGCACAGGGCAGCCCTGACAGCCGAGCCCGGAGGAGGATCAGCAGGGCCTGAGGCGCAGAGCCCGCCCCTTCGCCCAGCCCCATCGGTGGGATCGGCCCAGAGGGCGGGAGCAGGGAGGGGAGACGGGGTCCTTGCCCCCAGCCCCTCCCCTTTCTCAGCCCGGCACAAACCCCGCACAGTCTCTGCCTTAGCGCCTTCTTCCCCGCCCAGAAGGACGCGACCCGCGGAGGCAAAGCCATCAGAAAAAGCCCCGCCCTCCGGCCAGCTACCTCCAGACCCTGAACCCGCCGCTCTGGGCCGCCGGTCGCTGCCCGCTGCTACGCATGCGTGACTGCGAGCAGAGCGCATGCGCCTTCGCTTCCCGCCGGAAGTGTTTTCCGTTCTCCGGCGTTTTGGAGTCGTTGGCCTGGAGAAGGGGTAGGAAAAGCAAGGAGCAGAAGTACAAGTATATTGAGATTTTTATTACGCAGACAATAACAGCACATAAAGAGCACGATGACACTGCTTAAAAAAATTAAATCTAAATGTAGGATTAGTCAAAAAGAAGTGGCAGGTTTTTTATAATGCCAAAACCCAGGTTTAGGTAGTTAAGGCTTCGCCTTTGATTTCTGGGAAATGTAGTTTGGCTGCTGCCTGCTCGACTGTTGGCGACAGAAACTACAACCTCCAGGAGCCACCGCGACGCTGCTGGTGCGGCCAGCAAATCCACAGTTCTGGAGTCAGGAGCTGAGTCTGGTGGTCGGTCTGGTGAGTATTGTATCCTTCCTTGTCACCCGTCCTTTGAGAGGAATTTTCTTTTTTCTCTTTTCTTTTTTTTTGAGAGGAATTTTTTTTGCTGTCGGACCTCTGCGGTTTTGGAGACGAAGCCCTGTGGAGTTGCTTCCTTTCCTTTTTTTTTTTTTTTTGAGGGGGCGGACTTTTTTCGTACGTATTTATATGAGAAAGACTTATTGCAGGTGCCCGCGTGCGCAAGTGTGTTGAGGTGAGGATTTCGGAGTCGCGATCCCGCACGTCCGAGGGAGCGGTCCAAGTGAGGCAAGGCAAGAAGGATGCAGAGGAATGGGTGCTCTGCGCTGCGGCCTCTGCTGCTTGTGCACTTTCATGTGGACACGCGCGGGATGAATTAGGGATGAATTATCCTTGTATAATTGCAATTTTGCTTGCCTTTACATAGGATTGTTCTGTTCTCAGTCAAGTGAAATGCCTAAACGGGTTTGAAAGCAAGTGGTCAAGTCCGTTTTGTGTAAAAATAAAGGGAAAGAACTCTCAATATCCTTTTATATAAATTCTTGCATGCATGCTGTAAGGATATTTTTAAAGTGCCTCATAAAAAGCCCCCTGATTTATTATATTTAGATGATTTCATTGTTTCTTTGAAATTATTCTTTGTTTTTGAAAATCGTTATTCTTGAAGATTCAAGTTTCAAAGGCCATGAATGGATTGATAATCAGATTAGGTTTTAATTCATATTGTAGAATTGGTGTATTTTTCAACTTCTCGGAACTGGGTATGTACAACAGTGAAATAGACACAGTCCTACCTCATTAGAGAAACCAGTGCTTAAACACAAAATAACAGTACTATTTGGCATTACTGCCATGGCTATTAAGGACATTTCTTAGCCCAGTTTTGGATATTCAGGTAAATCTTCATCCCCAGGGGGGTGAGGACCAAAACTACATCAACACTCATGTATTTAATTAAGGAATACCTGTTGAGTGGTTCCTGTAGCAGTGTATCAAAATGCAGCATTAAGCACGGTACTATGTATCTCTACTGTCCTAGAACTTACATTTAACTAAGCAAGGGGAGTAAAAAGTATATAAAAACATACAGTAAGTGGAATAAAGGCAGATGCAGTGGAGAAAAATAAAAACCAACTGGGAAGCTGGAATGAAAAGTGCCAGGTTGTGGGGAATAAGGTTTATTTTTTAAGGTGGTTGGAGAGATGAGCTTGGTGGGGAAGTAATCAGGTAGATTCCTGGGGGAAGATTATTCAGGTGAAGAGAACAGCTATCACAAAGGCTTGTGAGCTGGAGCATTCCTGCATATTTGAGCAATAGCAAGGAGACTCATGAAGCTAAAGTCACTGAATGCAGGAGAAAATAACAAGATGAAATCCCAGAGGTAGGGTACAAGTGCAACGGCAAGCAGAAACACAAACAATACCTAGGATTTGTAGGCAATTTATTTTCCTCATGTACACTTACCTGGATCATTCCCAGAATATCATGTCCTAACTTCTAGTGGTCTAGGGCTTAGATAAGCAAGCAGGAAGTACAAACTCAGAATGACTTGTCAACTGGGGATTGGTTTATACAGTTTGCTTCATCATTGTGACCAGCTGTTTCTAAAAGACAGAAGCAACCTGATCTAGAACAGGAGTCAGGATCCTGGGCAACTGACTAACTGAAGTATGGGGATGGGGGCATTTTCTGCTACAGGATGTCATGTAGATGATTCAAAGGCCTTTGACTTTAAGTGAAATGGAAAGCCATTGGAGGGTTGTAAGCAGTATTATTTAAAAATAATTATTTCCTTTAAATTGTTTTTAGCATAGGCCATGGAAGCAAAGGTAGAAGCAGAAAGACCAATTACAAAGCCAAAGTAATAATACAGGTGAGAGATGACTGTGGTGGTTTGAACCACAGTGGTAGCAATGAGAAAGGCTAGAAGTTAGATATATTTTGATACTATAGCTAGAAGGTTTGGCTAGAAGATTAGATGTAAAAGTAAAAGAATGAAAGATGACTTTGCAGTCTAACCTGAGCAAATAGAGGGATCTTTATTTATTCCCATGGAAAAGATTTGCATGGGGGCAAAGGAGAGGTCAGTGATTTAGTTTGGTTGTACTAAATTTGAGATGCTTCTAAAACATTCAAGTTGAGGTGTGGAAGAGAGAGTTCAACAAATGAGACTGCAGAAGGAGAAGGTCTAGCTGTAAATACAATATTCAGTATCATAGTATTTTCCCTCAGGACAAAGGATTGAACCCAGAGCCTTCATAATAGGGCTAAAACTTGTGATTTTCCTTCCTCAGCCTCCCACAGTGCATCATAATATTTTGATAGTAATTGTTAATACTATCAAAGGAAGCAATATATGGGAGTTTGCATGTATTTGAAATGTGGTTATGAAGGGATACTCAGTGAAGGGAGGAAAATTTTAAGTGTGGTATTCTAAAGCCTACCAATGGAAAAGATAAAGGAGAGCAGAGTGGGAGTAATAAGTTATGTTAAATGTCTCTCTAGATCAAGTGAGATGAGAATTAACAATTGACCACAATTGAAGGAGGGATTTGCAGAGGAATAAATGGAGGAAAATATTTATGGGTGTGTATGTTTTTTATTTTTTATTTTTTTTAGGAGAGACTAGGGATTCCTTGAGTATAATTTAAAAACATTTTGATTTTCTCAATTGTGATCTCTGCAGTAAGTCTATTTGTGGGAAAAGCAATTCTTAATAGTTATAAGTTGTTTTTCCTTGTAAAATTTACAAATTGAATTATACTCAGCCAAACATGTTTCTCTGTATGAGGATTTACAAATGGAACTGTTAGCTTTAAGCTGGCATCTTCTGCTATGAGCATTAGTATTAGTTGACCCATTGTTGGTATGTCCAGTTGGAGAATGTAAACTTACTATAATTTAGGCTTAAATAAATAGCATTAAGAAAATAAATATTATTTTTTTAATCTGAAGTAAAAACAGAGTATATTGGATTACTTGTGATTTATGGAAAGCACAGTACAATAACAAAAAAAGATACCACATGTAATGGTTGAGACCCAAGTCTAGATTCTGTTTTTGGTGTTTTTTAGACATCTGACCATGGTCTAGTCACCTAATCACCTAATTTGTATGTTTCCCCATGTATTAAAAAATGATTGTAAAGGGCTAGCCAGATACCTCAGTGAATTAAAGTGCTTGCTTAGGCAGACCCAGGAGTCTGAGTTTAGATCCTGGCCTGCCATGCTGGCCCTGCCCCCACCCTTAGGTGGGGGTTGAGACAGCGATCAAGACTTGGCATGGTGGCGCATGCTTATAATCCCAGTGCTTGAGAAGTTAAAAGCAGGAGAATCACTACAAGTCCAATTTGTGTAGTGAGACACTGTAGACCCTGCACTAAAGACAAAAAAAAAGTTTGTAAACAGTTAATTTGAAAATAACATCATGTAATACAGCAACCCTTGTTGAATTAGTATTACTTTGATTAGTGAAATTTTGTATTGTTTCTAATGCTGTTTTTTAATTACTATTTTGCATTCTTTAAAAAATAAAAAAATTAATAATTGTAATACTAGTGCCACTGTTATTTTTTTATCTTTTTTTGTATTAGGACAGGGTCTACAGGGTCTCACTGTATAGATGGGACTCTTAGTGATCCTCCTGTTTACAGCCTCCCAAGCCCTGGGATTATAGGCACGTGCCATCACACCCAGTGGGCCAACAGGCCCAGTCTCAATCACCATCTCAGCGCGCCCCAGGCTGGGTCGGCATGGCAGGCCCAGAGATTGAACTCCTGGCCCCTGCGTCTGCCTAAGCAGGCGCTTTAATCCAATGAGTTATTTGGTCTGCCCCCTACTGCCACTTTTAAAAGCTAAGTTTGATGTGTAAAGCCTTGTAAATGATATTTCTTGGGGCTGGGAAGAGGGCTCAGTGGAATAAGCGCTTCCTTGGTAAGCGCAAGGGCCTGAGTTCAATCCCCAGTTCGGGGGGTGGGGGGGATATTACTTGGAGTGCTAATTCATGGTTTTTAGATTTTGTCTTTTAATGTAAATATGAAGTTATTTGTACATTTTTTTCTAGGATGTTATTGCCCATAATTTTTTTTTTTTTGGGGGGGGGGACCAGGGATTGAACTCAGGCCCTTGTGCTTGCCAGGCAAGCACTTATTCTACTGAGCTATCTCCCTGGCTCCTGCCCTAATATTTTTGAGAAGAGATACTCAAGAGAATTTTTCTAAAATAAACTATTATTGACTGAAAAACTAATCTCAGGACATTATGAGAACTGGGACTTTTGTCAAAGCTCCAAAAAGCTCCACTCAAAACTATCTGAGTAAAAATGGTAATTTACATAAAATGTCTATTGCAACTATTTGAAAAAAAAATCATACTTTAAAATAGTGATACAAGAAAATATTTACCATGTAATATTCAATATAAAAGTAATTCACACCAATGTGTTATAATCCTAACTTTGATTAAAATAGCAAAAGGTTGATTTAATATGAACCAAAATTTAAAGAAAATTAGTAGTCTAAAGTGATTTTTGTTTTCTATTGTAATTTTCCAGTTTGTAGAATGAGTGTGTATTCCTTTGGTAATCTGGACTCTATGAATATATATATATAAAATTTATTGTTTTTTGTCAAACCTTTAAATGCTTTGTATCAGCTAGCATAGTAAAATATCATGGACTTACATATAATTTAAGAATGGAAGTTGTGGGCAGTATGTACATAAAAAGAATATTATTTGTTAACTTGCTGTGGATATCTTTGGCTATACTTTTTGACTTTGCTGTTTTACATCTATTTTCTGTGCTTTGATAGACTGGAATTTGCATCCAGTCAGGTTTCAACTGACAGATAAAAAATGATTACATTAAGCTGGGCATGATGTTACATACCTGTAATCTAACCTCCTGTGGAGCTGAAAGATGATCTTAAGTTTGAGGTCAACCAAGGCAATTTAGCCAAACCTTATTTCAAAATAAAAAATAAAAAGGGCTTGGGCTGTAGC